TATTTATTTTCATTTTGACTTGAGACCACTCATTGAATTTGCAACAGGAAGATACTGGCTGGTAGCAAGGAGAGTTGTATTTCAATACATTTGAAAGCTGCTGGATTGGGAAAGGTTCCGTTAAAGGGGGGATGGATGAAGTATTGCTTGCAGGCTACATGCAGCTTCCTACCAGGCTTTTTTGTTTGTTTGTTTATTTGTTTGTTTCTGTTCCCCAACTGTACCTCCCAGGCCAAAAAATATATATACAGTATATCGCGAAAAAGTGATGATGTGGTCTGCTGCCAAAACTGGGCAATGTGGCTTCTTCACAGCTTTTGTAGCTTCAGAGCAGTTGAAAAAGTTTATTTAACTATCCCTTAACAAAGTATCTCCTGCCAACCTAGCAATTCGAACGCTTGTAAAAATGCGAGTACTGTAGATAAATAGGAACCACCATGGTGGGAAGGTAACGGCATTCCGTGTCTAGTTGCTCTGGCCACATGACCACGGAAACTGTCTACAGACAAACGCTGGCTCTACGGCTTGGAAACAGGGATGAGAACTGCACCCTAGAGTCGGACACGACTGGACTAAATATGTCAAGGGGAACCTTTACCTTTAACAAAGTATATATTTTAGAGAAGATTTTTTTTAAATGTGCCAAACAATCTGAAAAGGGAGCAGATTCCCTTATTTGTGTTAAGTTTACCCTCACACTCTCTCTCTCTTAGGCTTCCTGGATTGAGGCTTCCTGCCTAATTGGAGATTATCCATTTCCTTTCTCCAAATCTTGCTGATCAGGACTGTTTGTGTGTTATAGAAACACATAGCTGGGAGATTCCTGCATGCCATGCCCGCCATTACTAGTGATTCTTGGTGAAAGGATTTCATTTGATGTATTAAGAAGGACTCTAATTGTCAGGGAATGAACAATATTTTAGAAAACATGAATCGGTGAAATAAAAAATTAATTCTTAATTTTTTAAAAAAAGTTATAACCTATCTTAATTAATGTCCTAATCAGGTATTTATGCCATCAATTAATTTAAACATGTTTGTTTAAAAACATTTTTGAGAGGGGTTTAATTTTACAGTAATTTTATTGAGGCAAAAATATTTTTAAAGTATTACATATTTAATAAATAAATAACAAATTATGAACTAATAAGCAGATTTTATGTTTATAATCAGGACACCCCTTGGCCACATCCCTTTGGAGGCATGCTAACTAATTTGGAAAAATCCCCCTTAACTCTGCTGATGTTGCCTTTCCTGGTTTAGAAGACCACTGTTGTTGCCTGTGCTGGACTTTTCCAAGTCTTCAGAAGGGAGGGGCTCTTCCTTCAGACTCAGAGCTTCAGATTCATTATATTAGGGATGATATGAGGAGCCATAGATCAAAATAAATATTTCTGTTTATGGATAAGTAAAACAAAAAAATTAAAGGTGAATGTTTGCCTGGAGTGGGAGCCCTGTGACGTAGGTTGAAATCCTGTAGCTTAGCATAGTAAGTCACGACTGGACTATGCCCATTTGAATCAATGGAATTTACCAAGAGCTGACTCATCAACTCCCTACTGATTCAACAGGCCTACTCTTGTTGCAATTTGCTACACTAAGCGACAGGAATTCAGGCATAAAGTCATCCAGATGAGGGGAGTGGATATTTACTTGGAGGCTTTGGATGTTGTGTTAGAAGAAGTTAAGATTTTTTGCTAAAGGCCAACTCAGCTTTAAATGTTGTCAGGAGGAATATGGTTTTTCATTTTAAAAAAATTATACAAATAATCGTATGACAACTGTGAAAAATAAATGTGGTATTTTTATATAGCAGAGCAGGAACTTTAATCTTCTGCATTCTTATGACAACCCAACCAATGCAATTTGGGTCAGTTAGAAGACGATAATCCGTTTGTCAATTCCTGAGTGCTTAACTGCGCTTAACATTGCTGCTTGCTCATCCAAAAGGGTGTTTGAGGAGAGCATATTCTTGAGTTTGTTGGATTGGATGGTGAGCATTAAGTGTGTAATTGTGGCCTGGTTCCTTTGGTTATCTGACCTGAAATCATCTTACATTGTGTACTTTCCCCCCGCAAAAAATATTGCCTTCATCTTTAAAGTAAGTTAAATAAAAGCTGCATGTTTTAAATCACCGAGACCGTGTGGCATCTGTCATGGTGCACAGTTGCTCCACAGCTTGCTCCCAGAGCTATTGTTAGAGGCATGGTGTATAATAAATGTAATGTGACTGTGGCCCTGTTATTACCTTTTCCAGATAGTGGTTGTAAAATTCCTGGGTTTACCCTTCACTTTTTATGGGTATGAAGGTAAGTTAACTAATGGACTGCAGCCATACCAATGAAATTTTAATAGCTAGCTCCCTATAGGCAGCCAATAGGCTGGAGTCATAGTGTTTTGCTTTATAAAGTATAGACCAACTGTGCGTCTGGCGTTTTCAGTGGAAAGAGAATAAAAGGATAACCATGCATGCAGAAGGAGGCAGAGCCCCGAAGCTACCTCTTACATTTTCTGTCAAGATGCTGATTGCTTAAAGCTCTTTCAGTGCTGGTGTGGCACTCCCTCTCTGTCTACAATTGATTTGACTGGGTTGTGGTGGTAATGCTGATGCTGTTACTACTGTACTACTACTGCTAGTGACCATTGGGGAACAGTCCATGCCAGAGTTGGATTTGGACAGAAGGCTGTTTTCTACTACATGTTATTATAATAGGCTTGCAAAAGAATTAATAAAGTGCCTTATGTCTGTTAAAACACAGTATTTCCCTCCTGGAAGTAGTACATTGTCCTTCCAACTGTTAATCTTGGACTTATTTACTCTCATTTTCACAGTATGAGCCATTTCACTTAGTCTGCCTAATTTGCGAGTTTTGCTTTGAGCTATGCGCTGGGCTGAGTTAAATTTGTCATTTCTTATTATATGAAGTTTCTTTTTGCAGTTGCAGTTTATATGACCCAAAGTGTTGATTTGGCAATATTATTGCTGAATAGTTAACATAATACTCATCTACTTGCTCGTGTTAATGCTCAGCTTCTGTTGTCTTCAGTGAATAGGTGCATGCCAACCATGAGCATGTTGTGCAGTGTTTTGTATCTATGTCCACATGAGCCTAACTAGGATTGTCATAATCATTAGGACTGGTAGCTTTGAAAATACAGATGGCCTCTCTCAAAGGGTGGGTAACCTGCATAAAGGAACTGCGGCTCCTGTTTTCACACCACCACCACACAATTTAGTCTCTTATCCTCTTCATGCAGCTGATACATGCTCTATTCCATCTTCAGTGGGGCAGTACAAAAACATGCTACTCACAGTGTGGCTACAGTGGTGAATAAAGAGAGAACTAAATTATAATCAGGAGCCATTTAGAGAGGATTTTACTTGGACTTCATTTAGTTTTTCCTTTCCTGAGTTATATCTATTGTACAAACTGTCAGTTCTTAAATAAAACTATGTGTTGTGATCGCAGGCTAGTGCAATAATTAATTAGAGCATATAAACATAGCCCATTTGTCATACCATTAAAAAAAAACTGGCTGCTTTATGGCACCCTCCTTTTCTTTTCCGTGCAATGCTGATTACAACTTATCATTTGTCAAATACAAAGACGAGTGTTTTCATCTTTCAAATGCCCGTGTATGTACTGCTAAGGTTTATTTGTTTAATCAGGGTTCTGTTCTTTTTTAGTATACATACATAAATCTCATTAATGTTAACAAGTTAGGCCAGTGCATTGTAAGGAGTACGGCCTCCAACTCGTTAATGCACTTTTATTTTTATTTATTTATTTATTTATTTTATATCCCGCCTATCTGGTCGGTTAAGACCACTCTAGGCGGCTAACAGCATACTTTGATAGTATAAGATGACCTATATTTGTGGAGCAAATGATAGCTAAGCTTCTGCTGTGGCTTGGTGAAAGGAGAAAGAATTAGGGACTACAACTAGGGAACTTGAAAGAGAAATGTGTATCTTGGGTTTGCTGTGTGTTTGTACGTATTTGTGCCATGCAAAGCTATGGACACTAAAGGCATAATTTTCCTAATTTTCTGCTCTGGGAGATTTATTTTTTATGTATACATTTTAAAACCAACTGTTCCAGGAAAAGGAACTTAGATTTCAAGCATCTGCACAGATCTTGAGGGTTTTTTTTAATCTTCCCCTTTCCTTCTCCGCTACAGAAGAAAGGTAGCTTGCAGACTGGGTTCTCACCTTGCTGACAGATTCTGAAGACAAATCTTCATTTTATTTTTTGTTTCCTGTGGGTAGCATAATGCAAATAATTTTAAGAATTGTGTATCATTCCAAAAACAGCCATAGTGGTGCAAGAGTGTAACACTGATTCGGGCTATAGACGTTTTCCTCTGCTGCCAGTGTGGTGCACTGATCTTGAGACTTCCTGGGCTCTGCGCATACTACATCCTTCATCTTCCTAAGTTTATTGAGAAGCACAAAGGCAGGGATTTTCAGCAAGAATGCAACACAGAGGGGTAGATGTAACATCCTAATTTTTACTTGATTTTGCAATAACAAAAACAATTATAGGGTGTGTGTGGATTGCGAGGGTTCTATACATTATCCTAGTTTTAACTTCTGCATTCTCTGTAGCACATCCACCAAGATTAAACCCATTTCCAAAGAAACAGCTGAACATTCCCATTGTTTTGGTGCCAGTCATTGTCCTTTTGTTCACTTAGTTTGTGGCACCATTTTCTTCTTCCTCCTTGGCACTTCATCCCTGGTCTGCTTAGTCCATAGAGATGTTTCATATTCCCACCTGTGGCAACCCACGT